CGTAAGCGCGGGTCTGCGGACGGCGAGTAAGGGTAGCTCGCCGCCCGACCAGAACCAGACTCGAGCGTACGGCGCGTAGTGTTCTGCGCGCGCCTCAAAGAGCCAATAGACCACCACAGACGGGGCCCATAGGGCTGATGTTCAGCCGGGGTTGCGGGGTAAGCGCAATGAGGCACCGCGACCTCGGCCCAGAGCAGGAGAAGGAACAGCGGGGTTTTTAGTCAGTAAGAGTCTGACACTGCTCTCGCCTTACCCTGGGCGGGAGAAGTCATTTGATGATTATCCCCTGATAAAAAAAAAACCATCGGACTTGCTTTAAATTTTGCATTTTACATTATAAGCCTATAAGAGCCCTTGCTGAACAAAGTCCTTTTCTCATATGAAGAAGGTGTCGAAGTAATAATTTATTAGAAAGATGGCAGCTGTCATTAGACTCTTCTGTTAAAGTGATTTGCCAGTTAGATTTTCTATAGTTCGTTCCATAATTAGAGACAACGATTTGACATTTCGAGTGTTGTAAGTTTTTTCCATTTCATAAATAGTGAAGTCCCGCGACCGGTATTGACCGAAAGACCGAAATTAAATTCTGGACTTCGTGCATTTTAAAAGCTTTATTATTTTTAGCTACTTTCCCTGGGACCTTCCTGTGCCCATACTAACTCAGTCGGGTTAAAATCACAATGGTAAGGAAGCAACCGTAAAATAGTGACCCACCTTTTAGGCGCCATCAGTCCACGACGTATCATTCATAATTACTCTTCTCTTTCCGGGAAATCTCCAACAGCTCGGCGTTCAGCATAGGTGCCTCAAATATATATGTTTTTCTTTTAGCCAGTCTTGGATTTCGCATTTTTATTTTAAATTATTATTATTAATTCGACTAAACTATAAAAAACATGACCGCAACGTTGTTTTATTTTGTTCAGGGTATTTTATAAAAAACGGTATCGGTATTTTATTTAAAACATCGTACTCGGGCCCATCGCTATGTTGAAAAATCTGGCAACATTATTTTGTAGTTTGACATTTGCTGTTGTCAAGTTGTTGTCTCTAATTATGGAACGAACTATACTTTGAATTTTTGAAATCAAATTTTATTACAAAGGATTTCAAACAAATAATAAAGTCTAATTGGACTTTCTAATGTACCGGTCCGCTTGGTATATTTTATGTCATTTGCAAACAGACGGATCGTAAGCAATCGGGGCTCACAATGAACACCAAGTATATTCCCTACCTCTTGTGACTTGTAGGAGATTTGAGGATTAGCAATAGGAGGAGAAAATTTGGGCTACTGGCTAGCCTACTCTCAAGGCTAAGTAATAAAAGTACTGGTTCACGCCAATATCATGTGAGGTCAAATGCACTATGGTGGAGCCAGCTCTTTCATGTCACAACATGGCTCTCTCAGATATTATCCTTTTTTTGGTGTCGATTTGGAAAATCTTCATGGAGTCCCACCGCCCTCGGGGAAAGGCGAAGGGTTCTGTCAGACTCATACTGACTAAAAACCAACCCGGTCAGCCGGGGTTGCGGGGTAAGCGCAATGAGGCACCGCGACCTTGGCCCAGAGCAGGAGAAGGAACAGAACCGGTGTTCCTCCAATCACCCATGTGTCGGAGGGGCGGGTATCGCCGAAGCATTCGTCGCCGCTATGGCGGCGTGCCCCGCCGTGGGTTGCGCTAAACGCGTCTGCCACTCCGCTACTAAGGCCTGGCGGAGTTCTGCCCTGCATGTCTCAACCTGTCGAGGCACCAGGCGCTCGCCCCGCTCGACTGCCTCCGCGCGCCACCAATAGAGTGACGCGAGGAGCTTTGCGTCGAGGTCCCAGGGCGGGGATCCGGCTAGGAGGCTCGCTGCCGCGCGTTCGTTCGTGCAGCGGAATGTTGTTGAATTTAAAGATTTAAATTATGCAGATATTTAGTGTATGACATCGTATAATTGTGTATGGTAAAAAAAAAAAATTGTGCACGCAACCATTGTGGAGAAATTCACCAAAAACTGATTCCGCTGGGCGAACGTTGTCCTGGCGGAACATTTTTTAATCCATAGACTTTAGTAGAAAAGAGATGTATCCAAAAATTAGTGTGTATTTGTGTGTAATTGCGTATGTATGAATAAAACTAGTGCATGCATAAACTTCGGAGAAATTCAAGTTTCCGCTACGCGAACGTTTGGCCATTAGCTAGTTTTCATATAAAGCGCTTACATAGAGAGCTGTAGATTTTTACATACGTTGTTTTGAATTTGTTTATATTTGTTTACGATTTTTTCTAAATTTGTTTGAAAAACAGATTTAGAAAAAATCGTAGGGTTTAAAAGTTAAAAATATAAACGTAAAATACGCTTATTAGGTCTTAGTTCTTAAAGTATGCACTTTGGGCTCTAGATTTTCACGTTTATACAAACCTTGTAAGTGTCTGCAACATGTTGCCAAGTATCCATGATGTTCCGTTAGTAATTAAATAGTTATAGGACAAATTTACCATGAATAGATCACTGTTTACAAAGCAGTCAAATAACACGACTTTCTAAATGAATTGCATGGTAAAATGTATGCCAATAATTAGTGTATTCATTCAACTATTCACTTGCAAAATTTCATGTCATTAAATTCAGTAATTAAAGAAAAACAATTATAATACTGACGAAGCATCGAAAACCTACATAACCCGATCAAGTTCGGATGCTACAAAAAAGCGGCTGTGCAATATATTTAGGTAACATCCCAAAATTTACAGTATAATACCGGTATTGAATTGGTACAGGTGATAACACACTAGTTGTTTCGAAATAATTTATTGGTCATTTCTTTTTGGACACCTACTTTTATTTGACTATGACAGAAAGTAGGTACTATTTACGTAGGTAAGTACTTTATTTAAGTATGCGCTTGAGACTTGAGATATAATCTAATTATATTGAAGACAAATAAAATTCATACAGCTAATTTCTATTGAAGATTTCACGGATCAGGATTCTAACTATAGACCCCTTAGGGAAACTAAATATTTACCACATGTACCTAAGTATGTACTACTGTTTAGGTAAATATTTATCATAGGTATTGTAGCTTATTACACTACTAAAACAATATTTTTTATTACACTATTTAACCAATAGACTAGGCATGCACGAGCGTGTGTACGAAACTGTGTTTTATTTTTTCCTAACGCTTGTGTACGATACTGTACCATATTAATAAATGCTATATTAGAAAGTTAAGAACGTTTCTTAGATATATGGCACGGCCGCTTTTTTGTAGCCATCCGAACTTGGTCGGGTTATGTAGGTTTTCGATGCTTCGTCAGTATTATAATTGTTTTTCTTTAATTACTGAATTTAATGACATGAAATTTTGCATGTGAATAGTTGAATGAATACACTAATTATTGGCATACATTTTACCATGCAATTCATTTAGAAAGTCGTGATATTTGACTGCTTTGTAAACAGTGATCTATTCATGGTAAATTTGTCCTATAACTATTTAATTACTAACGGAACATCATTGATACTTGGCAACATGTTGCAGACACTTACCTACAAGGTTTGTATAAACGTGAAAATCTAGAGCCCAAAGTGCATACTTTAAGAACTAAGACCTAATAAGCGTATTTTACGTTTATATTTTTATCTTTAAAACCCTACGATTTTTTCTAAATCTGTTTTTTAAACAAATATAAACAAATTCAAAACAAAACAAAACAGCTCTCTATGTAAGCGCTTTATATGAAAACTAGCTAATGGCCAAACGTTCGCGTAGCGGAAACTTGAATTTCTCCGAAGTTTATGCATGCACTAGTTTTATTCATACATACACAATTACACACAAATACACACTAATTTTTGGATACATCTCTTTTCTTCTAAAGTCTATGGATTAAAAAAAGTTCCGCCAGGACAACGTTCGCCCAGCGGAATCAGTTTTTGGTGAATTTCTCCACAATGGTTGCGTGCACAATTTTTTTTTACCATACACAATTATACGACGTCATACACTAAATATCTGCATACTTAAAATCTTTAAATTCAACAACATTCCGCTGCACGAACGCACGCCGCTGCCGCATAGGAAATCGTACGGTAACCCCTTATTATCGTGACGGCCATCGCGCGCTGTTTCAGCGCGGTGATGTTGCGAGCCGTCAGGGCGTCCACCCATACTGGCGCGGCGTATAACGCCATCGACCGTACGACTCCCATGTAGAGCCTCCGGCTGGAGGAGATGCCCCCCTCCCCCCCCTGGTTGGGCAGTAAGCGCGACAGCGCAGCAGCGGCGCCCATCAACCGGGGGGCGAGCCGTGTAAAGTGCGGCCTGAAATTCTACCGACTGTCGAGAACGATAGATACTTCATCGTGGACTCAACAGCGGTGGAAACCCCTCCTACTATGATGCTAGATCCCTGAGGCGGCTTCATCCTCGGCCCATGAAAACACAGGGCCTCCGATTTGTGCAATGCCACCTCTAAGCCCAGCCGCCGGAGCCTACCCACGACGTTCGCGACACCAGCAGTAGAGCGTATAGTCGCCTGCCGGAACGATTTTCCACGCTCTGTAACTAGCGTATCGTCGGCGTAACAAATGACGCCTACGCCGTGGAGTAGCGCACCGCGCAGAGCCCAGTCGAAGCCAACGTTCCACAAGAGCGGACCCAACACCGAATCCTTCGGAACGCCGCACGACGTCTCTCGCCGACCCCATCCTTCTCGACCCGGGTACTCTACCGACCTGTCTGAAAAATAGGCCCCGACAATGCGTTGGAGGTAGCGCAGCATCCCGCGATACCAGAGCGCCTCTCGAGTGGTACTACAGGGCAAGGTGTTGAAAGCGTTGGCGATGATTCGCTCCAAGATGTCACACACTTCGTCCAGTAACACGAACGGCATGTACACAGACGGGGAGTCTGCGGGGTCAGATATAATCTTATTGTAAAACCGTGTAACAGCAATTACAAAAAAAAACATCATTTGGTTACCTAATTAAGTAAATACGGTAGGTATTTCAGAAAAATCTTAGTTTAATTTCCTTTTATAAAAATATTAAGTACATTTCATAACTAATTACAAATAAATTGTTTAGTCATTTTCGTATTAAAACCGTACTTCTTCAAACTGTGGCGTATTGTCTGGGTCCAAAGATCTCTGGGCGATAAAGTTTTTGTACCATAGAGCTGATAGTCTTGCTTTTCGTGTTCTTTGCTCATCATCGAAGTCAACCTCGAATAGACCGAATTTTGCGCTGAAAAGAAATAAATAAGTTTCAGGCAAACAGATCTTTAGAATATTGGCTACTGCCTATGCTACTGCTCCGTGAAACATTGTTGTTCCAGGTCTGTGTAAAATAAGTATGAATGAAAGAGGCGACGTATAAACCAATTAGAAAAGAGAACTGCGAGTACTTTTAATACCTGTATAGGTAAAGAAGTAGGTATACTGGTTTGCATCCTTCCACGACTGTTCTTAAAGTAACACGTATATGAGTAATGGTCAATTGAGTTAATTTAATTGCCGGAGACGGATATCCGATCATTGTAAGCGTGAATCTGCAGACGACGCTCAAGGCTAGTACTCCGTCCGACCAGATCACCACTGAGGCACAGAGGGCGTCCACTAGTGAAGATGTCCAGCCAGGGTTGCAAGTGCAAGATTAATGATGTACTGCGGCCCGGTTCGGAGCAGGTTGGTTTTAGTCAGTAAGTCTAACACTCCTTCTCGCTCTACCAAGGGCTGAAGAAGTCATTTGATGATTTCCAACCACAAAAAAGTAATTTGGCAAGTAAGCAATATGAAGATTTTATATTATTTACCTTAAGCCAGAGTCCCATTCAAAGTTGTCCATGAGACTCCAAGCAGTGTATGTAGCCACCTTACAGCCGTCCACTTCAATAGCATCCAATATGGCGTTCAAGTACGCTTTGTAATAATCAATTCTGTCAATGTCATTGTTCCCGCCAAAAGTACCGTAGCCATTTTCTGTGATTAGCACTGTTGGATTGTTGTAATTATCTTTCACCCAGTTCAGAGCTTTTCTGATGCCATTTGGAATTTTCTGAAATCAAACAATAAACATACCTACATTAAAATTACACATTACATATTGTCTGGTAGACAAAGTAAACATATGAGAAATACTTTTACAACGACGGTGCAGGTGCGAAATAATAATCCTAAAAAAGCTTGTAGATAGATCCAAAAGTAGTTATTAAAGTTTACAGTTAGACCATTCAGCACCGACTCGCCTCCGGTGGCTAGTATTCTTCATTATATGCCCAATATGCCCATACAAGACCATAGTCTTGTATGCGCTCGGTTACAACACGCTGCTCGAATTTTTGCCTTACGTTGACTGGGCATTGTTAAAGCGCGTGTCACGAGTGGATCGCGAGCTGCTAAAAATTTGTGTACTAAGTGGCGACCACTGGTTGAGTATTCGGCGTTCTTATTGACCGCCTGGGTTCCACCGATTGACTGCGGAACGGTTATTGATGATAACCACCACCGACGTCCACCCCTGTACTACCTACCTGACACCAACTAGTGAACGCCGTGTGACGAGGTCATTATTGATATATTCTTTCAGAATATGGTCTTCATTCTCACGTATTCTGATTGATAATGATTAGAAATGAGCTAAAGTTACCGTAGTATGAATAGTGGGTGCTGGATCATAATCCTTGTAGCTGGTCACTGCTCCGATGTCGTCATCATATGATGGGATCGAGTACATTCCTTTTGTGTATCCATCTGCTGTGTAAAATTTTGTGGAGTAGTGATTGAACCCGTAGAAGTCACTGGTACCTGAAATATTGAAAAAAATATAAATATTTTGATTTGCTGCTTCGTTGGCAGAGCATTAAGAAATTCAGTTTTGTTACCTATTTAGTTTTGGTTGCCGAGTCAAGTCGTAATAAAGGTAGGTTTGATATCAAACCTCTATAATCTCTCATATTTTTTTGAGGAATCGGCTAATATAAATAGACGACATCCGCTTCGTCAAGCTTCTCATAAAATAGTATTTCAACAATAGGAGCGATTTAACCTATATATGCCTAGAGGGACAGTTGGGATATACCTAGTGGAACACGGGGCTCAATGGAACGTTGTCGATAAAAAAATTGAATTTCAAATAATTTTGTTCGCTTTCATTTTCGTCAATCACGGCGCCTACATCCATCCGCCTATGCTCTACACTACACGAAAACATAATATTATATTCGTTAATTTTATCGTAGTTATAATTAGGTAGGTACTGCGCATACAATGCGCCCCATAACCTGTTTCATTCTCAAATCAACAATATAGGTACCTACCTTAATCTCTAACTAAATCTATACTAATATTATAACGAGGTATTGTAAGTTTGTATGTAAGGGTAATATTTGGAACCGCTGGTCGGATCTCCAAAATTCTTTCATTAATAGATAGCTACAATGTTCCTAAGTGCTGTAGGCTATAAAACATCACGTTACGGCTAAATGGAGCCGTGGGTGAAATCGCGCGAGAGTAGCTAGTCAAAGATAAAATAGGTAGGAAGTTAAAAAAAATGCTAGATTTTTGTGTCTAATCATAAGATTAATGAATATTGTTAATTTTAGTTAGCAGAAATTAGAAATTGTTTTCTTAATTAAAAAAATGTTTACCTACTACATGAGTAGTAACTATTGTATACGGATTTTATTGAAATGATAAAAGTTTGTTACTACATAAGAAAGACTTAACATGACCCATGAGACATGTTTAATTTCTGACGTAAAGAACTTAGTATTCATAATTATACCCAAATATAGGTTGGAATTTAAACGGTAAACTAATGCTAAACCTTGTCTCAAAATTATCTACAAATAGTAATTTTGAATACCTACTTTTGAGTACTCAAGTACCTGGAAAGGAAAAACCTGGCAGATAATAGGAATTCGCATATCTGATGGAAGATATTATGGTAAATCTTAGCGAGTGACAAGGAGATATCGCTTGCGTATGAGGCAAACTGCTTGATAAATTGTATTGATCGGATTCGGATTCGTCAATGAAGCTATTGGTTCAGATAGTTGTTTTTAAAATAACTGAATGTTTGCATAAAAGCAAACAATATGCCCGTGACTGATGCAATTTAACAATTTGAATAGCTAACTGCATATAAAGTGCTGTTTGCAAACAATACCTACCCTTACCATACTGGCATAGACTTAAAAATAGGATCTTATATCATCATCATCATATCGTCCAAGCCGTATCCGGCGACGGCGACTCCTAAATGTCTAACCGGGGTCGTTGTTATGATAGGCTCTAATGTGGCTAGCAAAACCGAACTTCGATCTAAAGGTCCGGCTACATGGCACACTAAATAACTGACCATCAGAATTAACTGTGTAGTTGTAGGAGGGCTTTGGTCGGGTCTTCCGTATTCGGTGTTTGTCTTCCGTTTTTTGTTTTGTTTTTGGATCTTATAAGGAATATACTAACACACCTCTGATAAAATCAATTTCCTCCTGAGACAATTCTGGCAGTCTGCTTTTGGGAAAGCCTTGTTCAGCGCTCTTTTCTGCAATACGTTTGATCAGCCTCTCAGGAAATCCACCAGTCGAAGAGAATATCGGGTGGCTGTAGAAACCAACTTCGAAGTCCATCGCCAAGTATCCTAGTTCCACATCCTCGGCGGAATCTGACAGACCCTCACGGAAGTCTGTTGCTATTGTTATGCCGCAAGTACCTGGAATTTGAAAATGAAGAAGATAACCCCTTTCGTTCAAAGAGTGCTACAGAATCTAAGCTCAAATAAATATGTAGCTTACCTTTTTGTTTTTCCCTGTACTCTTTATCATACAAATGCCAGGCCTTAGCATGGGCTAGCAAAGCATTTTTCACCGCAATATAATCACCAATACCAGGAGAAACAATATTAGGAGCGAACCGGTCCGTTCCATAACCAAATATTATCATCTGTTTCGGTTCATTCAACGTTATCCAGGTTTTCACTCGGTCTCCTAGTGCGTCGTACAATACGCGAGCGTAATCTTCAAACCAGTCAGCTATGAGAGGATTGGCCCAACCTCCCAAGTCTTGCAAACTTTGTGGCAAATCCCAATGGAACATTGTGACTACTGGTTCAATACCATTGGCCAACAGCTCATCCACCAATCTACTATAATATCCAATGCCTTCTTCACTGATTTTGTTTGCGAAACCAGTTGGCAAAACCCTTGGCCATGAAATAGAAAATCTGTAGAAGTCGACTCCAAGGAACTTAAGCATTTCTATGTCTCTTTGGTAGAACTCGTAGGACTTGCATGTGTCGTTGCCATCTGTACCATCCTTAATTTTACCAGGGGTATGAGAATAAGTATCCCAAATGCTTGGAGACTTGTCTGAAAAGTATCCAGATAAAGTTACTTACATACTAAACTCTTTGGAAAACTACGTGAATAAAAAGTTGTGTTCTTAAGAAATTAGTGACATAGAGTAACTGAATTACAGTCTAGTTTAAGCTAGTCTAGGTACTTATATATCTAAATCTATATTAATATTATAAAGAGGTAAAATTTGTAAGTTTGTATGTAGGGGGTAATCTTTGGACTGGTCGGATTCCCAAAATACTTTCACTTATTGATAGCTATAGTGTTCCCAATTGCTAAAGACTATAAAACATCATGATACAATCAAATGGAGCCGAGCTGCGGGTGGAACCGCGCGGGAGTAGCTAGTTTTCTATTAACCTACAAACAAAACACCACTCACTTTGTCTAGTCTTCATATAAATACATTTTCTTAGCACTCATATTTTTTTCACGGAGGTAGGTATTCTCAAATGGACTTACCTGCAGCGTTCCAACCTCCTTCAATCTGGAAAGACGCAGTAGCTACTCCTAGCCTCACGTCTTCTGGCAACTTCCTCATTTTTACTGCAGAAATGTCCGCAACCGACGTCGTCACAAAAGCTGCAGCGAGTATATAATGTAGAACTCTGTAAAACAAATTACCTAATCAGTATTGTTATAACAAATATGTATCTAAATAAATTCTAAAATGTACTGTAGCACCTTTACAGAAGAGTTCACTTTCATTTGCGAAGTTATCTTTACGATCTGTAATACCTGAAGTGAATTAATTTTATCTAAACAGTTGTAAGTATAGATATTATTGTTTTGAATGTTTAATTTTGTTTCAGGTGACATAATTAGATTTGCGGGTTTGTACGTAGGTATAAGTATTGTGTACTATACTGTTAATACTATCAATGATAAGCGCGATTAGTGTTATTGTCTCCGAAGAAAATTTTTGCATTCACTTATAAACTACGAGAGCGCCAACTACGCTGTTCAAGGGATTAGCTGATATACAAAAAAAAATGTTGATAATCGGTCTATGGAATTTGAATAGATACACAACATTAAACAGTAAATAACATTACCAAATTGTATAGAAATTTTCAAGTCAGAAAATAATAAATTTATTAACTTACCTCATGGTGTTTAAATATTTTATTCTTTTAAAAATTTCTTAAATTATGTGTATATTTATATTTATATCTAATACATGAGATCGGTTTGTCGAATATCGTAAGCAACTTATCACTGTTGATATTGCTTCGAATAGCCAAAATATATCAGGCAAAAATATCGTGTCGCTGTTCAACAGCGAATTATATGACAAAGTTTAAAATGTCCAACTTGTCCACATTAAAATTAGAGGACGCGGTCTTTCCTCCTACTCGAATTGCGCAACAGGTTCAACATTATTTTATTGTAATGGATGTTATTTTCATATACTTTGACTTTGACTGCACGGTTGTTGGCGCGGTGGCTAGGCAAAGTGTCGCGGGTTCGATTCCCGCACGGAACATCTCTTTGTGTGATCCACAAATTGTTGTTCCGAGTCTGGGTGTAATGTGCATGTGGGGCAACGTTTTTAAAAAAAAATCCCCTGTCCCTGTCCCTGTCCCTGTCCCAGGGACAGGTTACAAGTTTTGATTTATGGGAGGGTCAAAAGGGGCTCGAAATGGTTCGTGATGGTTTATTATGTTATTACATACAGCTTGCGTGCGTGCCGTATTAAAGTAGGTAACATGAAAAGAATATAGTTTCAAACTTCAACCACAACATGAACGTCAAAGATAAATTCATTATCTCAATAAACATTTTCAACAACATCGCTAAAACTTGGGGGTCACACTTATAAAAACACGTGCTTGTGTTTTCAATAGGTACATAAATACGTTAGTAGATATCTTACGTATGCAATGTGACGTATTTTTTACATACTTCAAAAAACAAAACTTCTTAAATCGAGGTTCTTAATCGAGCGTTTTTTGTTTTTGTAATTTATCGCATAACTCTTCATTTTATAGCCCGATATTAAAAATTCTTTTTCCATTCAAAAAAGTCAAGGTTCGATATGGTTCCACAGATTATAATAATATGTAGTACCTAGGTAATGAATATTAAATTTAATGTAGAATAATTATGTTCCAAAGAATTTATCAGTAAATATCCCCGTTTGTCCTTGGGTGCACCTTTCCCCGTTATGCAGTGACATGCTCTAAGATATGACCCTGAGCTTTAAAGTTTATTTTTAAAAGTTTGGTTGGAGTATTTAACTATTTAGTAACTTTTCCATATTACCTTGTAGGAACTAGGTAGGAGAGCCCAGTTGTCCTACGAGAAGGTTCTTCTTGTAAATAATACTTCGTTAGATGCGTGTTTCCGAATAAACTTTAGAGGTATGAGGAACAGGGTGGAAAGTTCCTCATCCTCCATTGAAAAGGGAGGATCCTCCGACCAGGCGAGGTGTTCGTGCCTGGCGGCCTACTGCCCTGTGGTTGTTGTCGGGATATCTGTATGGGTGCTAATTGTGTTGAAAACTCTTATAGCGCGATGTAGACTCTTGTACGTGATTGGTGCTGTTGTTAATGTAGTGCGCTAGATGTCGCTACAACCTTCTTCGCCTTCATAAGCACAGATATTATTTGAATGTACCTACAGGAGTAATAGAACTTCAGAATTATGTAGTGTATTAACTGTGCTGATTGTTTTCTTTCTGCTGTCTGTAATATTGTAGGTGACATAAATTATTAAAATGATCAAAATATTCTAAACTTGCTCAATGGGCAGTTTCGGATAATCGGGCAGGCCCGATTATCTGATGGTAAACAATTGGCTCTGCCGATGGACACCCAATAAGCAACACCAAAGGAGTTACAAGTGCGTTGCCTTTGTGGATAAGGGTTATGAATATTTAAGGAATGGGAAGGGATGGGGAGAAGAAAAAGGTTTGGGCTCTGCCACACTAGGTAAAATGTGGTGCCGTCAGAAGTTTATTTTTATTATATTTTAATGCATTGGCAAGTAGGTACCAAATTCTTTCCATATCCGGATTTTGAAAACTGAAGATCTATATACTTTTCATAGGTACCTACTCCTCACCAAAAAAAATATTTTAACAACCATTTGACAGTCATTAGAGGTGACAAACACAATACTTAATTTTTTGTGTAGTCGTTTTTTTTTTCAATCGTTTTGGTTTTAATAAAGTTTCGTTATTTAAATAATGACATATTTTTTGTTGGTCCTCATTTTAAGTTATTAAGGTTGAAATTAGTCTCGATTGACAGACCCAAAATGGCTTGAAAACATTTTTGTCATCATACCTACTTGTGTAGGTAGGTCCCTACGTGCGTCATTGACATCATTCATATATACCTACATCCAAACTTATATTATTAATGCAAAAGTAACTCTGTGTCTGTATGTCTGCCTTTTCTTCACGCCTAAACTACTGAACCTATTTGTGTGAAATTTGGTACAGACATAGTTTGGAACCCGAGAAAGGACAAAGGATTTTTTTTAAACTTTGCCCCACTCTAGTACTTTCTCCTGTGTCGTGGGTGCGGTTACAAACATACACATGACACCCAGACCTGGAACAACAATTTGTGGATCACACAAACAGTTGTTGTACCTAATCTGCAAGAGGAATATGCGGAAAAGCCACAGTAGGTAGGTGCAAAATCAGACCTTAGGCTACAATAGGTACCTACATTATCTTATGTTGTAAGAACATAATTATGATATGTTAAACTATTATTTTAAATAAATTTCAGGACTGACCATTGAACTTGGCACCATTCAGATCTCACTTCTTTTGTCGTTGAAGTCAATTAACAACCAAGGCATTTATCATATCTAATATTGAACTTGGCTGCCATTTCACATATATGTTTTTGATTGGATACTAAATTTCTCTACTATTTAATGTATGTACATGCAAATACATAAGTAAAAAAAACCTTCCTTTTCAATCACTCTATGTAGGTATTAAAAAGCCGCATTAAAAATAGTTGAGTAGTTTTTAAGATTAAAGCATACATAGGGATAAATGGACAGAGAAAGCGATTTTGTTTTCAACTTGTTTGTACCAACGCAAATCGCGTCGCCCGCCGCGCTTCCCTTCGCACCGCGCGTCGCACCGCTAGAAGCTGTGGCCAGGCCCTTATACCTACTATGTAGTGATTATTATTACGCAAAGTTACAAAATCATAACAATGGGTTTTCAACAAAACGTTCTCTTTATCTTAAGCGAAAGTCAAACTTGATGTTTTTGAACAATCTCTCCTCTAGATTACCATCGACATGGGTATGACACTCAGGTAAGTGCATAAGGACTGATTAAGGGCAAACAAGGAAAAATATACACTAATATATACTAATATATTAATTTTATTATTATTGTAAACTTAACTTTAGAACCTATAGTTAAGTCAATAGTTTAGAAATCTGATCCAACAGACAAACTGTGTATACAGTTTTGTTGGACATTTTATACTTTTTATAATGTAAAATGTACCTTCTATGCAATAATAAATAAATAAATAAATAAATAAATAAATAAATAAATATCTAATAAATAATAACACTTGATTCCATACCTGAGTAACTTTGCCTACGTGAGAAATTTAGCCAAAACCTTTTAATCGTAGTAATTCGAGACCCAATAGAAGAATATGTGTGCGAACGCCGGCGTTCGCTTGGGATTTGTTGAATTAAATTATTCCCGATCACGATCACGTGATACGTAAGTAATGCACACTTTAAGTGTGCATTACTTAATCACCGCGCTAGGAATTATATGTCGAGGTTTTCTCACGATGTTTCCTTCAGTTTATGTCAGTAGTGTCTAAATAATGTTAGAAATCACATACCTATGTAGGTATAACTCGGATGAAGTCATATTGGTAGATTCTTGCCAGGTTTCGAACCTGCACCCTCGTGCATGAGAAGCGAGCGCCTAAACCTTCGGGCCACAACGACGTTAACTAAAAGTTATACTATAGGATATAATTACATTTATCCTTCCCAATCCTTCCCCTCCGAATGAGGAGAGCGAGGAGGGATGTGTCCCTTCCCAATCCATAAATCCCAGAAACCCTAATTCCCAAAACGCCGGCAACTCACTAATAGCTCTTCTGGTGTTGCGGGTGTCTATGGGCGACGCCGATTGCTTAGCATCAGGTAATCCGTCTGCTCGTTTGCCGACTTATTATAATTTATGTTAGTATTTTATAGGAGTTAGATATATCTAAGTATCAGGGTAAGCGCCAATGTCAAATAGATAATTCAAAGAAAAACACTCCTTATAAAGATAGAAATGTCAAAACACTCGCTGATAAACTTGCAAAATTCTTCAATTGATAAGGAATCTTTATCTGGTTTGATATTCGTCAGAATATTTATCTCAATTGATGCAGACGCATATCAAGCTACTCCTATCTCTCAAATGATTTTCAACTTATTGTTGTTTGTTATAAAATTGAAAATCTATTGCCCAGATCGGACTTATTCAATCTTGACTTGCTTCAATAGGCACGTGGCTTTATGTAAACAAGTTTGATAGCCAAAACCCCCTACAGAGCAAATGCTTAAGTTCTGAGTGTTTATGAATCCTTAAGCGTTTGATTTTATCAACGTTTTATAGGTATTTTTCAAATGTTCTGTTCCTTCTCCTGCTCTAGGCCGAGGCCGCAATGCCTCATAGCGTTTACCCCGCTACCGTGCCTGAACGTCAGAAAGGGCCCCGTCTGTCGGTCTGTGATGGTCTATTGGCAAGCAACATAAAGCCTGTGTTAGTTCACTGCTTGGCTAAGGGTCTACTTCCCAATGTCTTAACTGGCACTATATAAAAGAAAATTGTATAAAAGTAAATTGTATGAACTATGATGGTTGAAAATCTTCGATTGGCTTTTCCCGCCGAAGGGAGGGGGGGGAGGGGCAAGAAGGAGAGCCCGATTCTTGCTTACTAAAAACCACTCCGTTGCTTCTTCTGCTCCAGGCTAGAGCCTTGGGACGTTGTTGTGTTTGATCCGCAACCCTGAATGTGCCTCATGGATGTAGTTTTATTTTAAAAGCCTATGGTGTCGTGACGGATTGTGGGATTTTAGGGAGTGGGGATTAATATGGTAAGATGTAATGATGTGATTATTTCTCGCTCGTTTTCTTGAGGCCGTGATTTACGGGGTACTTACATATTTATATGAGGGTGGTAAAATCGGCCCTTAGCATGCGCTTGCTCTACGTGGAAGGGCGGATGAATGAATTGGCGGATTCATAATGATAATGAAGATGGGAAAAAATAAAACACTAGATGCTTTTTATAATTTTTTTTATCACTCAAAACTTAATTTCTTTAAATTTTGGTTCATACTTAGTGTCGAGGGTCCTTGTAGCAATCAGATCCTTGAACCACAGAGCTGAAGACTTCGTTGTTCGGGTCCTCTTTCCATCATCGTAGTCTACTTCGAATAGACCAAACTTTACACTGGAAATATTTAACAATCTTACACCCGGTTTCTGAAAGGCTTGTCAACGCTAAAATTAACTAATCTCCTGTTAAATCCTTTGTCAAGTCATCTGATTGGTTGTTGATAATTCAGTCAACCAATCAGATGACTTGACAAGAGATTAAATTGATTTTAACATTGATCGGCCATTCGGAAACCGGTGGTTATTACATGGAATTTATAACCATCTAATCGCCGTATAGGTACCTAACTGCAAAGAAGAATACTCCATAAATTGTTTATGTAAATTCAGTCTTAATTATCTAGGTAAAGTTGAATTGGCCTATTGCAGTATTTATGTATTACGGTATTATTGCATTAAATATTATAAAAGTACATAACTGATCATATCGCAAACTCGGCTACGGATAATATTATCATATTTCTTCGCTTTTTTCCTCTTAAATAAAACACAATTGAAATAATTATGTATAAAGGGGTAAGCATAGATCTGCGTTCTGAACTCTTTGGTTTATGTCACACAATCACTAAACTTCTATACTTTTTTTAACCTCAAATCTTTCCCTTTTTACATATTTAGATAGAGGTCATTTATTTCATTTACAATCCTACTAACTACTAATGTTATTATTATTTTTTTAATATTCTACACCGACAGATGCATGATCTCTCCCTGTAGGTAGTAATTTACGTATTACACTTTTGCGTCTAACCTACTCGTACAAAACGGGTCTGAGTAAAATATTTTAAAGATATAGGTTAACTTCTAGATTGGCGCCAAAGTTGCTTTGCCCAGGTATTGCAGGTAAAGACGCTGGCAGAAACTAGTGTAAAATAAAATTTTACAATACCTACGTAAAATGTTATAAAAAAGTACCTTAATCCAGACATCCATTCAAAGTTGTCCATAAGACTCCAAGCGGTGTATCTGGTAATATTACACCCGTCCACTTCAATAGCATCCAATATGGCGTCCAAATACGCTATGTAATAATCAATTCTGTCAATATCATTTTTCCCGCCTAAATCTCCAAATCCATTTTCGAAAATCATTACTTCTGGATTGTTATAGCTGTCTTTGACCCAGTTCAAGGCTTTTCTTATGCCCATGGGGATTTTCTAAAATAAGAAAGGGATTAACCTAGGTAAATAGTATGGTAGTACAATTAGTTTATTTTCCTTAAGACAAAATAATATGGTACTTTCAGTTTTGATTCCTGATTTGTTAGGTTTGGTTTGGTTTATCGTTTATTTAATTTTTAAACACTCAAATTGCATTTTTTCATTTTTTTGCAGAACACCTACCGTAGTATGAGGTACAGAAGTAGTGGCATAACTTCCGTAAGTACCGACAGCTCCAAGATCATCATTATATGAAGGAATCTCATACATTCCTGGTTTATATGAATCCGTTGAGTAAAACAAGGTGGAATAGTGATTGAAGCCGAAGAAGTCACTCGTGCCTGAAAACGAAAAAGGTAATACCAGAACTTGTATATTTAAAAGGTCCTAATTCTAACAGGCTCTATTAAACGACGGTCATGATATGGGCGTCTAGGGTCGTGATTACGATCTTAATTTTCTGGGAAATTGTGATTTTTAATAAAGCAGATCTAAAAAGTGTTTTTACCTTTAACGTATTCAATCTCTTCTGGCGTGAACTCTGGTAATCTACTTCTTGGAAAGCCTTGTTGTGCACTCCTTTCCGCGACACGTTTCACAACCCTCTCAGGGAATCCGCCAGTCGTGGAGAATATTGGGTGGCTGTAGAAACTAACTTCGAAATCTAAAGCAACCTTTCCTGCTTCTATGTCCTCTGGAGAATCCGAGGCACCTTCACGGTAATCTGTTGCTATAATAATACCACAAGTACCTGAAAAAAGAAGGACAATAACTTTTTGATTTTGTAAAGCATGTGATGGTTCTAATTACAGTCTTGGTTGCGTCTTTTTAGTATATGAACAAGCCTATTATTTGCTTATTCACACAGAAATGTCTAACCTTACTTAATTTGATATCATATGTTACTTTCAATATTGGAATTCAGGTCTACCCACCTTTCTGAGTGGGTCTGTACTCCTTATCATACATATGCCAAACCCTAGCGTGTGCGATCAGCAAATTCTTGATGGCCATGTAGTCTCCGATTCCAGGCGAAACAATATTGGGCGCGCATAGTGTCATACCGTAGCCGAATATAGCGAATTGTTTTGGTTCATTTATAGTCACCCACGTCTTGACTCGATCGCCTAACGCATCAAACAGAACTCGAGCGTAATCTTCGAACCAATCTGCTATTAGAGGATTGGCCCAACCTCCCAAGTCTTGCAAGTTTTGTGGCAAATCCCAATGATAAATGGTGACAACTGGTTCGATCCCATTCGCCAATAGCTCATCCACTAATCTGCTGTAGTACCCGATGCCAACTTCGCTGATTTTGTTTGCGAAGCCGTTTGGTAGAACTCTTGGCCACGAAATGGAAAATCTGTAGAAATCCACTCCAAGGAACTTGAGCATTTCTATGTCTCTTTGGTAGAACTCGTAGGATTTGCATGTGTCGTTGCCATCTGTACCATCCTTGATATTACCTGGGATTCGACAAAATGTGTCCCAAATGCTTTCCGATTTATCTGTAATTAAAATCTTTTTGTTGTATTCAAAATAAATTGGCTATCGTTTCACCGGATTACCTTAATCATCTTTATCAATTTAGAAAACTAGATAGATAGGTATTAGTGTTTTCGATTATAAAAAAACTTTATACTACTGTCTACAGAGGCACAATAAATGCCCCGTAATAAAAAAAAACAGCAGCCTTTGACTACATTTTTTTTTACATACAGTAAGTCCAATAAATTCCGCATACTAACTTCATCGTCATAAGATGGGTTTACCATTACCAAACTGGGAAAAACCTCGAAAAGAAACGACGAGAAAATTTATTCTACTTAATCACTACAACACAGTATATAACTGAAAATACATGGTTAATCTTGTTCCAACTCGGTTGACATGGTGGCCGGGCAACTGACTGCCACGCAACCGCACGGAACAACTCTTTGAGTGAGCCACAAATTGTTGTTCCGGCTTTGGGTGTTATGTGTATGTGAAAATGTATGTTTGTAAACGCTCCTACGACGCAGGAGAGATTTCTAGTGTGGAGCTATATTATATCTGAACACTGTACCTGCAGCGTTCCAACCTCCTTCAATCTGGAAGGAAGCAGTAGCTACCCCCATTTTCAAGTCTTCTGGCAACTTCCTCATCTCTGCTTCAGGACTGTCTTCCGTCGTTGCAGTCACCAAAGTCACTGCAATCGCTGCAGTAAGTATGTAGCATAGAACTCTGTAAAACGAACATTAAAAAAAACACATTGCAATAAATTTATAGGTATTTTATTTTATTGAGCACTCGCGTGATTAAGCCATATTTATTTTTATTTAATCTTACTAATACTTAATAAAAATGCGAAAGTTATGATGTTTGGATGTTTGTTAGTCAATCACGCCAAAACGGCTTGAAGGATTTTGATGAAATTTGGTACATGCATAGGATACACTCCGGAATAGGACTTTTTGTCAATTTACCAAGCGGGCGAAACCGTGGGCGGAAGGTAGTGTGTACAATAGTTAAGTTCTAGATTTTAAACTTCCTACCAGGGTTTTGGCTATCGATACCCGGGGCTCTTTACGTACAGGACTGAGACCTTTAAAACGGCTAGTTTTAAGTCTGTTAGAATCTGACAATCACTTCTGTTTCTCGTCGAGGAGTGTGGGGGTTTTCCACCCAGAAGGTGGTGGCAATTCTTTTAACCTAAAAACGATAAAGATGCGACATGGCACCGAACTTCCAATGTGTTGTTGCTTAGAACGAAATTATAAAAAAAAACTTAATTTAAATTGTAACCCTTTTTTCTCAAGGGAAAATCATCAAATGTCTTTCTTCCGCCTAGGGTAAGGCGATAAGAACCCCCCGTCGCTTCTCCTACTTTAGGCCGAGACCGCGGTACCTTATTGCGCTTGCCCCGCAAGCCCGGGTGGCCTCTACGTGCCATGGAATATAAACTTGTGAATACATAGCCGACCAGCTGGTTGAACACAAATTATTTTACATTCTTACATAGCAGTTATTCAGATATGACATGATCTACTGTAGAATATATATTACTAGCGACCCGTGCTGACTTGGACACACGGGTGTAATGCTAATACAAAATTCCTTCATAATTTAATGTATGTTATTTTACTTATAGACGGTCCTCTTCAAATACATATTTAAATCCTATTTAAAAAAAACCGCATCAAAATCCGTAGGGTAATTTTTGGGGATAATACAGGGACTGAGAAAGCAACTTTGTTTTATACTATGTAGTGATGGCCTATGTACATATTATATCTACGTACCTTAATAACTTGTTGCAACTACAAAGAACAATTAAAAACTAAACATTAACTAAATGTTTACCTAAAATGATTTTGTATTTTATTGCTCTTAGGTACTTATCTTTCTATCTAATCTGTTTTATGTGCTGTTAGTCGTTAATCCTTATCTTTATTTACTTATTTTGTTTTGTATTTGCAACTTGTTTAAATGGGAAAATATGGATTATCAAGTGTTTGAGCTGGACTAGGGAAGAACCTCGTGTTTTAAACAGTTGCTCGCACTGGTGGGAGTATCTCCTGTGTCGAGGGTTTTAGAACAACAAGTTTTGGATAACACAACAAACATTTCACACTTGTTCCACGATGCAAAAAGATGATGCACGTTAAAGCACGATGCACGTTAAAGTATGAGGAAGTCAAGTTAGACACGAAATACTGCGACTTAACAGAAAAGCGGCGTTAAACAATGCTTAATTAAAATGCTAATATCTATTCACATGTTATTCCTATGGGTGAACCGAAATTCCGCTTCTTTTTAGGGCGGCAAACGAGCAATCTCTTTACCTGATGGTAAGCAATCAGCGCCGACCTTCAACACCCGCAACAGCGGAAGAGTAAATGAGTATGTTGCGGATTAGGATTTTGGATATTTAAGGATTGGGAAGAGGAAGGATAGGGCCTCCGGAAACCTCACTCACACGGCGAAACACAACGCTGTCCTTGTTTCACGGTGATTTTCTGTGAGCTCGTGGGATTACTCCGGTCGAGCCGACCCATTCGCGCCGAAGCATGGCTCTCTCATACTAACATCTACGCTCTTTCGAAATTATTGTTATTACTTTTCTGTGGGAGAGGCATGCTTCAACATTAAAGGATCAGAGTAACATCACGGGCTCACAGAATACTGAGACCAAACAGCACTTGATCTGTGTTCTGCCGTGTGAGATTATCGAATCCTTAGCCCCAAGGTTGCGGGGTAAGCGCAATGAGGTACCGCGACCTCGGCACAGAGCAGGAGAAGGAACAGGGGGGTATTTAGTCAGTAAGAGTCTGACACTAACTCCTGCCCGGCCCTGGGCGGGAGAAGTCATTTGATGATTTTCACCTCACAAAAAAAAGCCCCAACCCTCTTCCAATCCCCAACGTTTAAGGGTAGCCCTTACAACCGTCGAAAGGCGGCAAAAGACTTTAACTACTTTTCTTTAACTAGTTTCTCAACTAAGCTGATGTTCTATATTGTATTAACTTAGATACTTAACAAGGGTGAACCTCATCATCATCATCAGCCTATTAGTGCCCACTGTTGAGCAAAGGCCTCTTCCCACTAGGTGAAGGTTTGCGCATTAATCACTACGCTTGCTCAAGGCTGACAGGCGACTTCAAACTTATAATTTGAAATTGTCCAGTTTCCCTCTCGATGTTTTCCTTCACCGCATGACAGTGGTGTTTAAATAATCATGAAAAGAACTCGGCAAAAGTCACTTTCTTGATGAGACGCGAGAGCCACCACGCTGTCAATATTTTGCCATTTATGTGACGACTAATGGCTTACAGATTTAGAGGCACACTTTTGAGCTTCACTTCTAGGTACTAAGGTTTTTCGTAAACCAACATTAATGGACAAGGTGAGAATGAAAACTCAGCCCCTTTCACCTAGCCAGGCTTGCGGGTGCTAGCTCATAGTGTACCGCGGCCTCGGACTGGACCAGAAAGAACTTGGCAGTTTTTAGTCAGTTTGTCAGCAAGTTGTTGTCTGATACGTGCTCCTTTTCTTTCCACCCAGTCAAGAACTCTTTTGATAATCTTTTCACCCTCCCCTTCGTGAAAAAAGGTACTGTCACCCTTTCTATTTTAAAAATTTGAATTTTGAAAACTTGCCAGGCTACGAACTTGCACAAGTTCAAATAAATTTCGAACCATTTTTTGGCCGATCGGCTACTGCACAACGTCTTACAGATTCAATTTCCGATCATAATAAATTAATTGTGTGATGACAAAATTTTAATACCGATCCCGTAGTGATCGGGAAATCAAAGGCAACGGGAAAAAAACTATAAAAAATAATAGGTCTTTACATGAAATTGCCATTCTTCAGTAGGTACTGGCCATTTCAAATCAAAATAGTTTTTGTTAGGAGGCTAATTAATTTTGTTTTAAAAACATGGGATTCTTTTTCCAAAAGTAGTCATTTGTTTATTGATTAGTGTTACATTTTCATCGCATTTCAAATCAAAAAATTCGTTTAAATTTTTTTATGCAAAACGGCAATTTCATATGTAAAGACCTTTCATTAACTTTGAATAAATAAATAATTTAGGTACTCACCTCATACTTAATGGATTATTATTTAATTTTAAAAATATAAAGGTACAACAAAATTTCACTCCGTACACAAGGATCGCTGCATATACCTAATGCTTTAAGATATATAAACAGATAGATATTTATCTCTCGCTTATATCCATGCGGTTACTGCTAGTATTAGTCATACTGTCGAAATGAAAATAAACCAATCATAGCTTATAAGAACAACCACATATTTTGTATCGCATCGCCACCTACACGAGTTTTTAAAATCAGGTCTTAAAGTTAGGTAATGTTAGTCCATTTTCCTACGCTTCGGTACCAGGTCGCCGCTGCGGATGGATTCTACATTTGGGGATACCTAATGGCAAATAAGTAGTCAAGTATTTTCTTAAACAATTTTTTTTTCAGCTTTGTTCTAACATGTATGTACCTAAGTAAGTATGTATTAGAACAAAGCAATTAATTATTATAATGTTGAGATTGTAAAACACATAATTATATACTCTTTGAAAGAAGATGGAATCTCTTTCTCGTTCGAATTCCGGCTTCATCTAGTTTTGCACATATAATTTGACGTGTAAAAGTGCCGTTTTATGGCCTATTGGCAAAAATAAATTCATTGAGAGATTTATAGTTTTATTTTTTGTTTTATTTTCTGTCAGCATTTTTTTGTTCTTTTTTTAACTTTAGATACATTTTCTTCTTTGCATAGAAAAAACCTATAATAAGTAACATAGATCCGACCACATATTATGCATGCTGTGGCAACCTATTAACCTATTAACTATTAACCTTAAGTCTACACTTAGCATAAGATTTAAGATATCATAAGAACATTGTAACTAGTGTAAGATTTGTTGGTTGTCCTAAATAAATAAATAAATTAATTGTTTCATTGAATTCGAATTTAAAATTTGGAACGAGCTCTATTACTTATTCCATTTTGCCGGCACTAAAATTGATACATTTTTAAACCCCGACGCAAAAAGAGGGGTGTTTATAAGTTTGACGTGTCTGTCTGTCTGTCTGTGGTATCATGGCTCCTGAACGATTGAACCGATTTCAATTTAGTTTTTTTTTGTATTACAGATGTTTTACGGGCAAGTGTTCTTAGACATTTTTGAAGAAAATCGATTGAGCCTTTTAAAAGTTATGGGGGGTTAAACTGGAGAAGAAAAATCGAATGTCTGCAAATTGTTCCGTGCGGAAATCGATCCGGCGATACGCTGCACAACAGCTACTTAGTTACCAACCTGATGAAGAGTTTTTTTTTTGTTATTAGTTTTCAAACTTTTTCCGCAACACAAGGAAAGTAATTGAAAATGTCTAAATGCTTAAAGGATATTAAGGCATTATGAGCTCAATGGATATCAGATAAGTAATCTCATCATTTTGAGGTTAAGTACGGAACTTATCTAGGCCCCATGGAATTGTGATAAGAACTTTGCATCCTCTAAATAAGATGCACTTTCCATTGTATTATTAAGGTCATTGAGATGTTTTTTTAGTATAAGGTGGCAACCGAGCTTACGGTTTACCTGATTGTAAGCAATCGGCGCCGCCCGTGGACGACCGCAATATCAGCCGAGATTTTTTTCCTCGAGGGGTGAATTTTATCAATTGATTTTTCCCGCCCTGGGTGGGGTGGTGAGACGGATTGTCACGACTTTTACTGCTCCGAGTTAGATATCGTGGTAACCCTGGAGCTGTACCTGCATTGTCACCCTTTGTTAATGAATAATGTAAGTACCTTTATGTTTTTAAGGTGCAGATCAATCTATAATCTTAGTCCGAGGCATTCGCTAAGAGAATTTGAGCCTCAATAATTTTAAAAGTGTAATAAAGGGTGTAATATACTGTAAGGCATTTTATAAAATAAAAGACTACTTAGAAGATAGTCAGGCTTGGGAATGAGCTGCTGTAACGTCTGCACAGGTCATGTTGACATGTTTGTACCTGACATAAGTTGCGCTTTTTATATGTACTTATACAATTTGACATTACGTTTATTATTATTTTTAACAATGACATTATCACATATTGTGACATTAATATTTTTCATTTGACATTTTTTTTAAATTATTTATTGACATTTTGATTATTTTCTATTATTGTTAGTGTAACGACCGTGTGAGACTTGCCGCGCTTTTTGACTACCAGTTATCTGCGTTCTGACAGTTTGAGTACTTACGCGACCCACCCAAATGTTCTTTAGATCGGTATTGTTCGTCGGACAACTCAGCAGCACTAGCTATACTGGTTGCAAACTGACACTTGCGTGCCTGTCTTCAGAACGGGTCCACTTAAACTGGTGTGGTTCTTGCCTCAAAAGACCACTACAGAATGAACTTGAAGAGTTCTCTCACATTATGTTATTTTACATTGTCTGGACTTGAAAAGAGACTGACCTCTGAGTTTGTTTCGGCATTTCTTCTCAGAGTAGTCAGATAGAAAATGCCGGCTTCATCTAGTTTTTCACATATAGGTACATTGACGTGTAAAAGTGCCGTTTTATGGCCTATTTGCAAAAATAAATTCATTGTTTCATTGATTATTTTATTCTTGTTTTTTAAACAAGCAAACTCAATCATCAAATAGGTACAATTCTGGAAAAAATAATTGTGGTTCACAAAGTGGAAAAACACAGGTTTAAACAGAAAACATACTTTATTAATACATCCTTAAAAATAAGTATAAATCGTATTAAAAATATACTTATAAAATTATCTCAGTCGTTTTCATTCGATAAAATAAATTATTATTTATTCCTTAATTTATTTACATTAAAAGAGGTTCTATTTCTTATGTTTTTTTTACTTCGGCGGCATAGGTAGTGGCTTTGATGATCGTCACATGTTTCGCGTAGCTCAGTGGATATGAGTCATTACAAATATGCTATAATATGCTAATACATAATCTATAAAATCAAAGTATTTTGCTCGTTCTAAATAAGCAATTATCGTCACAGTATATTCACAGAAGAAAAAACCGAAAACCTCATGTATTTTATGGATTCACCAATCTTAGAAAGTAGGTACACACACATATTGTGTAAAAAATACCACCATTCCCGCCAATAATGACAGCTGTCAAAAACTCCTACTATGCTTAGAGTATATAAATACATAGTGATGTCCTAAATGCTTTTATAAATATCATGTCATTTGGATATGCACATTTAATTTTAATTTTTACAACTCGGTTGCCATTCAAGAAAGAAAAAAAAATAACGCCAGTATACCTACCTGCCATTCACCATTTTAGGTTGGTACGGTTTTAGTACGTCAGATGTCAAGTAAACAACAACAAAAGAAGACTAGTTTTGGTAATATTGTCAATTTAAAAAATAAAAAGGCTCCTAGCTATTTTTTTGTGCTATGAGTGAAAAAGTGCAAGGAAAAACCGTAATCAACCACAGCTTACCTTGCATAGGTCAGTTGCTGTCATATAACAACTTTATAGTGCTTTCAAATTTTTCGTTTATGAAACCGTATTTTACTTAACTCTTAGATTAAGATTTTTCATCTGTACATTCTCCATATTTAACTCAACTCATCTTTATATTTAACTCTATTTGCTAAATTAAATAATGGTTTGTTTAGTGATAACTCAAATTAGAGATGTCTTTTATTTTAAAAGACATCTCTAACTGTCTATAATAAAATTATATTTATTTAGTTTGTAAAGTCCAGTACATTTTGAAACAGAATAAAAATAAAAAAAGCGAACACAACAAGAACAATTCCTGTTGAAACAGGTGGGTTTTTTTGTGTGTCTGTTTTAATTTTTATCCACTAACTGTCAGAAGTGGCGTGATGTTATCGGGATGGAAAACATAAGGATCAAGTACCTACCTCCTGTCCGTCCATAGCTACACATTCAAGAATCATTCAAGAATTGTGACTGTATGTCAAAAGTTTAATCTGATTAACTAAAGCTAAGTGATGTTCCGGAAATACCAGACAACGATGGGGAGCATTTTGAAGCTCTTCAGGTTTTTGACAATAAAATCCAAAAATAAATAATTTACCAAATTTTACCAATAATCTGGTATCAGTACCGATACCTTTTTCGATTTGTTATGTGCTTCCCATTCCCGTTCTATCCATTACGCTCATTATTTTCATAGGTATGTCACATCCATACATAAAGATCATCGCTACTACTGGTGATTAACATATACATCATACAGTTAATTAAGATGACATCTGACAGCTGTCACTGTCACGTCACTTGTGTATACTTGGCAACTCAATACTGAAACAATTAAATGAATCCAGACTAATTTTTTGCTTGAGAAATTGCCTCTTTGACAAAGAAACTGTTTTGGACTATCACCATATCGCCATGGAATTTCTTAATTGTCCTCCATAACGTTATGAAACGAGTGAATAAATATCATGATTTCCAAAGTGCCTTATATAGCTTTGATGGAAGTAAATATTAAAACTTTGACTTTAAAAAAGCACCATTTCCCGAAGGTTTTTCATAATTTACAATTGGCAATGTGTAGTTTTTCTTCGAGCCTAGAATACAAGGCTTTCCAATAATTTTATTTATATCAAGTGCAAATATTTGGTCCTTTCATATCATTTAGTTTTTTGTAAACCTCTAACATTGTTGGTCGTTGATGTCTCGCGTACTTAGTGCAGTGAAGTCCTATGGCGATGAATGCTAGGCACATTGCGGGGTTCGACTGGTTGGTTCCAAGTAACACCGGATCTTCTAATGTAGCTGTAAAAAATATAAATGATAGTTTATAATGTGATATGATTATCATCGAGAGAAAATCAGGTCAGTATTTTGAAATAGTTCAATATTTTTTTGGGAACTTGAAGATAAAGTAGGTATTGGGGGTTGCGGGGCACGCGCAATAACGCACCGCGGCCTCGGCCCAGAGCAGGAGACGGGACGGGGGATGGCGGGTGGAGGGTTAGTCAGCAAGAGTCTGACACTCCCTTCCCACTAACCCAACCCTGAGCGGGAGAAGTCTAAGACTATGTGTGACAGGTTTTTTTTAAAGAATAAAATGATAAGGTACATAACATTACATTAAGGTATCGCGATTAAAAACTTTTTATTCCATTTATAACGCTACAGTAATTAGGGTAAAAGCCTTTTCAGCTGACTGGATAAATATAAATATGTATGTGTTAACTCACCCATATCAAGCCCCCTATTGTACAATTGATGTATGTACATGCTGAGGAATTGTTCTGGCCTAGTTTTATCGTTGGCCGGGAGGGCAGTGGCCATCTCAACCACGACTACTCCATAGCTGAACACGTCCACTGCTGGGGATAGGGAACGGTCGCGAAGGTACTCGTCGGGAAGGTACGGTTTTGTGCCGAATACCCTGGTGATGAGATAAAATTAAACGTAAAATTCGTTTGCTAAACAGAAAAGAGGCCTAACTCAAAAAATAAAGTATTTGAATCTTAAAAATTATGCTTCAATAATAAGGTTCAATTTTGGAATATCCTTTTTTATGAGTTAGTCCTTTTTTCTATTTAACATGCGATATGGAGGTTTACAATATGTTGCATCATGTGAGTTAAGTATTTTCGAATCAGGTAAGCTTCTTGCTAATAAGATCTCGTGTTTTGATAGATTAACAATAACGAATTGACTGATCAATTAAAGTCATTGCATTAACAAAACGTTTTAAAATACTAGCACTATACTGGGATCAAGTTAGAGACCAAATGCTTGTCAATCACACTTTGAAACATAAATAGGTACTTTTGAAACTGTCAAAATATAGGATAGTAGTCTGTCAGTCTGTTCGTTACTGAAGTTGGGTGCTTGTTTCAAATTGTAGAGATAAACACTATAATCATAAAAATTGAGAACTATGGCCAGATCAGTATGTCAACAGATTACCAACCCTAATTAAAACAAAAAATAAAGTTCAAAATTAATTAAACGAATTGAAAAGGTTCATCCCATGATAATTTGTGCTTTAAGCTACAGAGATGTATCGTTGATCACCTACCAACAAAGTACCTACTTACTTAGGAAACCTCAGCATGGGTCCTATCGTTCATTTTACAATTTGTGCTTTATTTGAAAAGACGACAAGGTTGTCAATCCTTTGCACTTACTTAGAGATTATATTTGGGTCCTATCTTACCTACCTATATGTTATAGCAATCTGTACTTTATTGCAAAAACAACAAGGTTGTTAATCTTCTGTACTTACTTGGAAACTTTGACATGGGTCCTGTCGTCTCCGTACGGTCCTTTTCTAGCGAGCCCGAAGTCCCCTATCTTCGGCATTAGGCATGTGTCTAGGAGAATGTTTGCTGGTTTGATGTCGCCGTGAATAAGAGGGGTACCCGCCATTGTATGTAAGAATTGTAGACCTCTGAAAATTGGTAATTATTGTCGTCATTATTTTCATAAAAATGTGAGAACCAACTGGTGTTTCTAGGAAATTTTCTACATAATAAAGATTTATTACAATCTCCACGTCAGATAAATTATTTTTTTACGACCAGCTTAAATATTTGGTACGTAAAAATTATAGTACTTACTAGGTAACTACTAATACACAAGTCCTTGTTTAAAAATAAATAGATTCGAATTCTAACCTTTTAATCTCGGTAATTCAAGACTCAATAAGCGCGCGAACGCTGGCGTCCGCTTGGGGTTTGAATCAATATAAAAAATAGTCAAACATACATAAGACAGATCAAAAAGTATTACCTATTTAAAAACACAATTTTAAGTGGTTTGTGAATTGATATAATTTTACTCTAGTATTTTTCTTTTAAGGTAGTCATTAGGTTATAAGTTTTCTATTTAAAAGCGTGAAAACTAAATTTCTACAAAAACTGAACTGTCAAGTTTGACAGTATTAATAACTTACCTGGCAACGCCATGTGCGATGTTGTATCGTTGTGTCCAGGTAAGAGGCGGGTGGTGTGTTTTCATTCTCAGCCGCTGTTCTAGCGATCCACCGCCCATTAACTGGTACACTAGGCAAGCTTCAGGACCTGAAATAGTTTAAGTATTTAATAATTTCTTAGACTCTTTGGTTGGCTATGCTCGACATAACCTTTTTTTTGGATGGAACGGCAAACGGGCAGTCGGACTACCTGATCGTAAGCAATTGGCGCTGCCCATGGAACACCAAAGGAGTTATGAGTGCGTTAGCCGGCCTTTTGGAGATAAGGGTTACGGATATTAAAGGACTAAGAAGGTTCGAGCCTCTCTTAACCTCACTCACGCGGCGAACACAACGCTGTCGTTGTTTCAGGCAGGTAGTTATTCTGTGAGGCCGTGGTATTACTTTGTTGGAGACGACCCATTCGTGCCGAACTTTGGCTCTCGCACACTTAAAACTATTCTTCGTTTGTCGCCTATAACCAACAATGGTGGTTAAAAAATCAAGAGGCTTGACAGAATTTTTAGTAAAAAGTTGAGTTTAAAATTATTGCTGTCACTGTCTAAACACAAACAATATAATCACAAACAATATAATTATACCCCAGGTAACTTTTATCTAACCATTGAAAGTCAGCCCTTAAAATAATAAATAATTACAATCACCTCCAAGCGAGTATCCATACAGAGGCAGTATGTTGTCGTGTCTGTACTGGTTGAGACACATCTCTCGGATGAGTTCCTTGTTGTGATCGTTGTTGTCAAGGAGTCGCTTCACCGCCACCGGCAAGTGCTTCCATTCACCTGTAAATAAACGGTTTACATTTCATTAATTATTTTAGAACTCGTGTTATTTTAATAGGAGTCGGTTTTAAGACCTCGTCGAACTACCGTATAAGTTTTCGTTTATGTCGACCCCTAGGAAACCGATATCGATCCCAAGGTGTTGATATCGACCACTCTTAATGTTATAGGTCGGCAAACGAGCAGACGTATTATCTGATGGCAAGCATTCCGTACCGCTTATGGACACTTGTAATACCAACGCAGTTACTTAAAGAGTGTTCCTGGCCTCTAAGGGGATTCAAGGATTGAGGGTAGGGGAGGAATAATAGGGCTTCTGATAACCTCACTCACACAGTGAAACACAACATAAGTGTTGCTTCAGGCTTTTCTGTGAAGCCGTGGACTAACTACGATCAAGCCCATTCGTGCTAAAGCATAGTTCTCCCACCACACTTCTTTCAATTTTTATCTACTCAACCAACCATAGAACATAATATGCACAAGAATGATTGGAAGTACGAATAACTTAGTAGGTAAATTCAAGCTCATAAGGTTCAAATTAAACTCCAAACAATTACCTTTGAACACCTGACCGAAACCTCCCCGTCCTAGGAGATTGCTTTCAGACCAGTTATTGGTAGCTTCCTTCAAATCTTCATAGCTCATCTTGGGAATAGCTGATACATTCTTCAAGAACTCGTTGTCTTCATTCAGCTTGTCGCCTTGTGATGATGATGTCTGTAACATGTGATAATAGATTAAGATATAGAATATATAACTATTGTTTATAAACATTTTAATTCACATTTATTATTTGTTATAATGTGATAACTATAACTAATAATTCTGTAATATCTTTGTTAAATTAATATTGTACTGATTTTTATGACCTGTATGTTATAATTATAATGTAAATGTAGTAAGTAAGTATGTAATAGTAGTGTAAGTACCTACCTATACTATAGATATAAGCGCTTTGGTTGTAAACTGTTAGCTTATATTCTACTAAATAAATAAATAAATTTATTTTGTGGTAAATAGGTGTGTGACCAATTCTAGCAAGTACCTAGGTACCAATCGGACTTTCTCCAAGGTATTCTAATTAAGTATATTTGGACACTATACAGGACACATACGTTATTTTATTATTATTTTAAGAGGGCAAAATCATAAAATTGCCTCTCCCGCTCTGAGTGGGGCAGAGAAGGCGTGTCAGATAAATTTACTGTATTGGCCCAAAACTAGATAAACTAATGATGTATGGATTGTGCAAACGCGTGGTGTGCTGGCCAAAGGCGAATTGAAGTCTTATTAATAATAAATTAACACTAACAATATAATAATGTAAAACACGTGCATTTTACGCGATTTCGTAAATATATCAAAGTAGATAATCATTTGATCGTAGCATGATGTTTTATAGCCTAACAGCACTCAGGAACATTGTAGCTATCTATCAGTGAAAGAATTTTGGCAATCCGACCAGTGGTTCCAAAGATTACCCCATACATACAAACTTACAAATTTTAGCTCTTTATAATAACAGGTCTTTACCGTTTTGCATGAAAAAATTTAAACGCATTTTTTTATTTGAAATGCGATGAAAATGTAGCACTAATCAATAAACAAATGACTACTTTTGGAAAAAGTATCCCATGTTTTTAAAACAAAATTAGCCTTAGCCTAACAAAAACTATTTTGATTTGAAATGGACAGTACTGCAGAACGGCAATTTCATAGGTAAAGACCTATTATTAGTATAGAAGTGTTGGTATAGTAAGTATTATAGTATAGATGTAACTCATACTGTCTCATACACATGTGTATATATGTATTATAATGAATCACATACCACATGAATCACAGTGCTAGTAATTGTATGGTAATACAACATTCATTGAAGAACAATGACATGATGACATTCTCGATTGACCACAAGTTCTAGAACTTTGAACCAAGAAGATTGAGTCATAAGATGTGAGCTATAGACATATGGTAGGGGTCACAATTAAAAATTTACTTAGGTACTTATAGAAGAAACTGATTTAGTCAGAGTTACCTCCAAAAAGTTGGAGCGAGATAGCTATCTATCGAGTATATCTTAACGTACTAACATAATCCTAGATGGATTATTTTCACACATACTTACAAAAAGTGTAAAAATGAAGTTCAAAAGGTGTTTGTAAGCGCTCAACTCAATAACGCCTAGACCGATTTTGCTAAATTTTCTTTTGTTTGTTATTGTCATAAGAAGGTTCTTGTGAAGAAAATAATGAAAATGGAGGATTTTTTTCTAAATACTTGATATAGATACTTTTATCGTAGAGTACCTAATCTTAGCATCACCATCGCAGAAGGAATACAGAATCTCCCCCTAAATTTTTAGGTGATCCGACACATACCTATGGCATATGAGTCTATGAGACGCTGTGCGAGTATATGAGAAAATATGTATCGCTCTTATTTAATATTATTTAAAGTTCAACTTACCCTACTGCTATCTATACTTGTCTCGTAGTTCGGCGACGGAGAGTAGCCATTTTGTATCCGACTTGTTGTAGGCAATTGTTCACCCTAGAACAGGAAAATATTATTATTAAATAGGTACTGTATAAAGTTCACGTTCACGCCGTGGTTTAACACGAATGGGTCAGCTCGACGATACCGCGGCTTTACAAAAAACTGGTGTGAAACAACTACAGTCTTGTGTTTCGTCATGTGAATGAAGTTTCTGAAGGCCCAAAACCTAATCTACAAAAGGCTGGCAACGCATTCGCAAACCCTCTGGTGTTGCAGCCCCTCAGGTGTCCATGGGCGGCGCTGATTGCTTACCATCAGGTAATCTGTCATCTTTTTTGCCGTCCTATCACATAAAAAAACTAATATTTTTTAGTGTAAAATATCCATACTTATACAATGTAGGTATCTTGTCCTGCTTATTATATTATGTAAATATTGTTCTAATTTCCCCAAAGCTTATAAATGACAAGATTCCGTAACAATGACGTCAATATCCAAAACATGTCATAATTGTATAAATTATCATTAGTATATAGATACTAATGAACGATAGGTACTATGCTATACATAGGTATATAAGGCTTATTTGTTTACCAGCTACTCTCTCACGGGTTTACCCGCTGCTCGTCTCCTACAGATCGTAGCGTGATGTTTTATAGTCTAAAGCCTTCCTCAATAAATGGTCTATTAAACACAAAAATACTTTTTTAATTCGAACCAGCAGTTCCTGCGATTGGCTTGTTCAAAAAATAACAAAAAACTCAAATTTATAATATTAAAAAATAATATACATTTGTTGTAACATGTCACTGGAATGACCATGCGATCAGTATTGCCGGATTTGTTAAATAGTGCCTGGAGCTAAATGTGCATTTATAGGTAGGTAGGTACTCCTAAAAGTTTGAACAAAAAAGAAGGAAAAACCTTTTTCGGATATTCGGTAGCTAATTTAAATTGAACCTTACAACTGCTGAGACAAGGCACAAAATATGTATACTTTTTAAGCAATCTCTTCTTATTTAAATAACTATAATGTTCTTTCATACAATATAAAACTCTTCATTCAAGATTTGGTTACGAAGTATCATTAAAGATAAAACAGCCCAAGTCTGAGCAAAACATAGTAGACTTGAATCATGTGTCCTTGACATTAAAGTTTATTTTTGTTTGATCAACGATCGCACGTAAGTCTTTCTTCGGGATTATACAGCTATTGTGGTCAGTCATTATAGTTTTTATATACAACGGTACAGCACTTGGCTTAAAGCCAAATGTAAATATTGTAAGAAATATTTAAACAGTTTTCCTCATATGCTTTGTTTGTAGAGAGGAGGAAAAATCGAGATTTGTAATCGTACATCCTTATCATAATGAGGATCATTCTTTCATAAAGTATTAATGAAATGTCGGCAGTTAAGTGTGGGAGAGCCATGCTTCGGCACGAATGGGTCGGCTCGACCGGAATGATACCACGGCCTCACAGAAAACCGGCATGACAACCATAGCGTTGTTTGCGTCGGGGATCGAGGGACGATCTCCGGCCACCGTAAGCACGGGCCTGCGGTCGGCGAGTAAGGGCAGCTCGCCGCCCGACCAGAACCAGGCCCGAGCGTATGGCGCGTAGCGTTCCGCGCGCGCCTCAAAGAGCCATTAGACCACCACCGACGGGGCCCTAAAGGGCTGATGTTCAGCCGGGGTTGCGGGGTAAGCGCAATGAGGCACCGCGACCTCAGCACAGAGCAGGAGAAGGAACAGGAGGGTTTTTAGTCAGTAAGAGTCTGACACTCCCTCCTGCCCGGACCGCCCTGGGCGGGAGAAGTAATTTGATGATTTTCACGTCACAAAAAAAAAAACCATAGCGTTGTTTCGCCGTGTAAGTGAGGTTACCGGACGCCCAATCCTTCCCCCCGTCCCTTCCCAATGCTTAAATATCCGAAACCCTTATCCCTGAAAGGCCGGCAACGCACTCGTAACTCCTTTGGTGTAGTGGGTATCCATGGGCGGCGCTGATTGCTTATCATCAGGTATCAGTCTGCTCGTTTGCCGACCTGTACCATAAAAAATGTGCATATATGATTGAGAACAAATACATTAATGATTTTGGCTACCTATTAGACTTAGTCAAAAAATAATGATTCGGGCAATTCATTGCAAAAAAGTATTGTTCACACTTGAATTCAAACATTCGCAATACACGGTTATCCTGTCAGCCGTGATAATTGTGGATAAATCCATACAAATACGATAACGATGAAAAGTTAAATAGTTTGTTTGCTTTAACGCCCATATCTCCAGAACTACTGGTTCAAAATTAAACAATTCTTTTTGTATTGGATAGGCGATTTATCGAGAAAGCGCCTTTTACATTGTTTTATTAGCTTGACTAATAAGGCTGATGAGTTTGTTTGGTTTAAGTCTTTAACTACTGATTGGAAAAATAATTAAATTATAATGATAATTATGTTTGTAGTGGATATCCTTCTTTACTTAATGGAAGGTAGTCGACTAATTAAAACATCGCGCTACGATCTACAGGAGCAGAGTAGCGGGTGAAGCCGCGTGAGAGAATATACATAGTACCGTTAATAAAAATGCAAATTTCACTTAACAATCAATTTAAAAAAATATTTTCCAAGAAGTCCCGATCAAAATATGGACAACGAAACAAGGAACTATGAATTATTTTATGCAAATAGGCCATAAAACGGCACTTTTACACGTCAAATTATATGTAACTAGCTACTCCCTCGCGCTTTCACTCGCTGCTCAGCTCCATTTAATTGTAGCGTGATGTTTTGTAGCCTATAGCACTCGGGAACATTGTAGCTATCTATTAGTGAAAGAATTGTGGGATCCGACCAGCGGTTCCGAAGATTACCTCCTACATACAAACTTACAAATTTTACTTCTTTATAATATTAGTATGGAAATATAGAAAAAACTAGATGAAGCCTGTATTTCCAATCTGACTACTCTGAGAAGAAATGCCGGAACAAACTCAGAAGACCGTCTCATTTCAAGTCCAGATAATGTAAACATTAACATACGTAATGAATGTAAGAGAACCGTGCAAGTTAATTCTGCAGTGGTCTTTTGACGAACGCCTCATTTGATTTTGATAACTTTAATACGATCAATTTTATTATTCATACCTACACAATAATAATATATACATAATAATAATATGTACAGCTATTATTATTAGCGGGATTCGTAATGCAATTTCCGAGTTTAACAATATACCTATATATATACCTATACACGTATATGTATAAATATGGAACAAGGACATAATTCGGTATTCCCATTCAAAGATAAAGTAATACTTCATAGTAATATTATCATACTATATGTACATACATAGTAATAATATACATATAAGGATGACTACATAATACGCTATACATATGTATTGTTGTTATTGATAACTGTTTGAGGAATGAATTAAATTTTTAATTGCACATTTTTTTTATGGTATATAAGTCGGTAAACGAGCAGACGGATTACCTGATGGTAAGCAATCGGCGCCGCCCATGGACACCCGCAACACCAAATGAGTTACGAGTGCGTTGCCGGCATTTTGGGGATAGGGGTTGCGGATAAAAAGAACGGGAAGGGGGGGAGGGATTGGGCCTCCGGTAACCTCACTCACACGGCGAAACACAACGCTGGGTTGTTTCACGCCAGTATTCTGTGAGGCCGTGGTATCACTCCGGTCGAGCCGATCCATTCGTGCCGAAGCTTGGCTCTCCCACACTTAAAATAACAATTGACGAGGCTGGGCAACGTTACGCGGGATAATTTTCAACACGGAACAACTTTTGGGTGATCTATAAATGTGAAATCTACGTTTGTGAATGAGCACACTATAAAGTTTATATTTCAATCACTACAAAATATTAAAAAAAGTTAAAATTAATGTTGATACGGTTCAAAGCATTTCTAATAAACATTTTTAGATAGAAAGAAGAAAGAAAGAGAAAGAAAACTGTTTTTATTCGGACCGAGACACGAAGGCCAAGAACAAATAACAAAAAATACAACAATAAAAAAAAAATAAAACATTAAAAGTTTGAAGTAACAGGACAACAAAATAAAATAAAAATAAAATTAATCAAAACAATAACGTGAAAACAGCCTAACAAAGTACAATAATACAGCCCTGGGTTGGCGGACATGCCCAATCCGAATGGGTCGCCAACTCAGCAAAAGCTGGGCATAGAGCACCCAACACTGATTTTCAGTTGGCCCCCCTGATGAAGTTAGAAATAAAAATGGCCACCATTTATAATGAAAAGCTCGCTTGAGCGTCTTTTGTCTCACGTTTGGGTTTATTTTGACGCCCGGTGTCTCGTACCGCTCACCCTGGAACCGGTTCTGCAGCCCGTTTACGCAAGCCCCAAGCCAAGCAAGTAGATTGTACATAATATATTCGCGTGCCAATAGCCCGAGACGTTCCAAATGGACTGCGGGTATCTTCAACATATTTAGAAGCCCGTATAATCTTCTCGTTGGACAGGGTTCAAAAGGTTTATCATAAGAAAAGATTAAATTAAGTATTTTTTGTCACATGTCATTATCTTGGTTCAAAATGTGTATTAAATAATGTAATGTCGTGGTGGCCCGGAGGTTAAGGAGCCCGCTTCTCATGCATGAAGGCGTGGGTTCGAAACCTGGCAAGTACCAATGTGACTTTTCCGAGTTATATGTACTTTCTATGATTATTTACACCTCTGACATACGGTGAAGGTAAACATAGTGAGGAAACCTGGACTTATAATCTCTAATTATAAGTTTGAAATTGCCAACCGGCATTGAGCAAGCGTGGTGATTAATGCTCAAACCTTCTCCGTGAGAAGAGGCCTTTGCTCAGCAGTGGGCACTTATGGGCTGATGATGTGATTAAATAATGTATTAGTGAACCTTCAAGACAAATCTATACTAGTATTATCTATACTATACTATACTAATATTATAAAGAGGTAAATTTGTAAGTTTGTATGTAGGGGGTAATCTTTGGAACCGGTGGTCGGATTTCCAAAATTTTTTCACTG